GGCGTTCTCGTTTTCCTACGTTTATCACAGGGGGGGGGGGGGGGGGGCAGCCTGCTGTTTACTCATGCAGATGAGCTCGAGTCCGCAAGCTCCCAAACAGGAGCGGGTGACTCGGCGCCAAAGAAGATGTTGCTGGAGTGATGCTGCGAGGCATTATGCGGTCGCGCCGAAACTTCCAGAAGGAATTCGCACGGTGACGACACCTGTCGTCGCGGGATGTGTCGAGCTAATGTCCGATATCTGACCTCACATTAGCCGTATCGGCATGGCTATTGTTCTGTGTCTCGCTCGTGAAGTGGCGACCGCCTTTTTAACTGTACGTCTTTGAAAGCGTCATTGATCTCGCTCCTGTCATACCAACCCGACAGCATCTGCGCGGAGATGCGGGCATCTCTTTGTTTCCGGTGTCTTTATTTTCCATCCATAACGGCGTGATGGATTACATTTCGTTCCATCGAGCAACGGTGACAGGCCAATTTTAATTGGCTAACGCGCAGTTGTGTACCTTAAGAGAGGGGCGGGGGGCGGGGGAGGGGACACTTGGCACTCCGGCATCTCTTGTTCCTTGTCACCTGATCCCAAACTTTTGGATCTTGGCTGTCTTTGTACACTTTTTTTCCCCCGCTGGCTCGCGCTTCTTCAAGATAGTCGCCGCAAAACGCTGAACAACCCACAATGGAAGTACAGTCAAGAAATCAGCGACACAAACACAAAACAACGTGAAGGGTGATATGGCGAGGCAGCGGTCGTCATGGTAACAAAAAGATGTGCTCTTCATTTGCGTTGAGACAGCGAAAGAAAAAAAACCTTGTGAGTGTGACAAACGACTGTTCGGCAGTGCTGCATGCCGGGGACTGTTTTCATTTGTGAAAACAAAAGGACTTCACGAATAAAATCGGCATTGGCCAATAATGGCCGCGCGAACGCATTCTGTTTGGTTCTTGCTGCATTTGTGCACTCGGGTGCCTGTCAACGTCTTGTCGGCAGGGAAACAAAAAAAGAAGGACGAGCTCATAAGAAGTGAGGCCGATGGTTTTTCTGTGATAGTGGGGAAAACCAGCTCAAAGTGGGTCAACATGTTTGGTTTGACTCGATGTCTTGTTTGCCTCAAGCGCACACCCCAATTCTGCGACGTCGCTCCTGACGTCCCTTGCTCAAGGTTTGGCACTGATTTCGCAGTCCACGCACGGATGAAAATAACACTTCTTGTCACGCCGCAAAACGGTTCCGGCGTGATGAGGCACCAAATGGGTTCAATTAAAAATGGTCATCAGAGGGAGAAGAGCTGGAACCACCGCCATCAAGTGATGCAACGTCTCAGCACGAACATCGATGGAATATTTCATCATATCGTTTGGCTTTAAATCTTGTATTTGGCCTTTATTTTCTTGTGTGTTTGTAACGGTGTGTGTGAAGCACATTGAGTTACCTTTTGTATGAAATCCGCGACCTAAATAAAGCGGCCTTGCCTCGCCTCGCCGACTGATGTGGCCTTCGTGATGAGTGTATTTCTGTTCTGTTGTGTTCTTGCGTTTCAACGTGCAAATGGAATATTTTCATCATGGTAAACATCCATTGGTCCATTTTCCAATCGGCTTCTCCTCAGGAGGGTCGCGGGCGTACCGTAGCCTGTTGTAGCCGTCTTCGGGCAGTAGGCGGGGGACACACCTCAACTAATGGTTGTCCGTCAATGTGTGCCTTGGCGACCGGTGTGCGGTGGCCCCCGCCTACTGCCCGGACAGGCGGAGGCACTCCAGCACGCCCGCGAACCTTTGTGAGGATGAACGTCTCAGATCGTGGCTTGGAGGTGATTTGGGGGAGCCATCCGCATTTGTCCATCTTGCCTTTCATATGTTGTACATTTGGGATGTCTTCCTGCGTCTCGTGACAATGACGCAAGTGTTTGATTGTCGCGCAGGTGATGCCAGCCCAAAAGCTTCCTGGGTGGCCGGCTGTGAAAGAGAAGGGCTGAACGGCGCTCCTCCTCCCTCAGGTTCCCGTGCTTGTCCAGCCCCGCCCAGCTCAGCCCAGCCCAGCCCAGCCCAGCGCCACTTCCCTTGCCCTGCAACTGCGCCGTTTCCACCCAGCCTCGCCCCCACAGCAGTCGCCAACTTGGTTCACCCCCCCGGCGCCCTTGCCGCAAACGGTCCGCCCCCCCGCCCCCTTGGTTGAGGGCCAAATCCGATGGCTACAGGTGGTCACGCCCCTGAGATTGACGTTTTGAGCAACCCGCATCAGGTAAAATTCAAGTTCTCGTGAAATGCGTTTGGGAATAACTTTTGGAATTTGGTTGCGCACTTCACTGACAAAGTGTATTCGAAATTGGGAATGAATGCTGACAAACTGAGCCCGGACTGAAATGTTGAGGGCGCCAGATTGGGCTTAACGACAGAGGTACGTTTGACAAAAAGACATTAAGAAAAAAAAAAAAATCAAATGTCAGTTGGTGGTCTTTTTCAGTTTGTGATGAAAATGTCAGAAAGGAACAGATGGCTTTTCACAGTAGGTGGTGCTAGCGCACTAAATGTTCAGGCTCAACTTGATTTGAATAGATTTATTCCCCAGGCCAGGCAGGATGAAGACAACGAGGAAGAATCCTTGGCTGTCAACCAGAAAGAAGGGGAAGAGGAGGAGGACGACTGGGAGACGGAGCTTTCTGTCAAGTACTTTGCCGACATCCTGCGCGACTCGGCATCCACCAGTGGAGGCCGGATGGGCCCAAACTACACAGAAAAAGATTTTGAGTGTAGGTGCACATGACTGCGTGGGAAATGCGTTGCCATTCCGTCCTGTTTTGCCGTCGTGATTTTTCTGGGCTCGGCTGCGATTTGGCTTCAGCGCATCCAAATCTGATTTATGATATGAGAGAAAATGAGCGGAGGGATAATTCCGTCTTGGGTCTGTTTGGATGACTGCCTAACACGCGTTTGTCATTCCTCTGAATCCAGATCACAGGCACACAATTCATCACATCCACCACCCGCTCTCCACGCGCTTGCCCGTAACGCAGTGTTTCCGCAAGAGGGCGCACGGCGCCGAGCGCAGGCGCAAAAAGAAGCGAAAGAAAAGGAAGACGTCCCTGCCGCCCTCCGACGTGACGCCCACCATCCACGAAGTAGACGAGGAGGAGGCCCAGTCTGAAATCGAAAGGCGGGTGGACGCCGAGCTGCCCGGCAAGCAAGCGCAGGTAATATAAGATGAGAAAGACGGAAGGAGATTTTGGGCAGCTGGGGCTCCCGACCCACATTTGATCGATGGTCATTCGTTAATCGAGTCCAAAATTGTCAAAATGTCAAACATGTAAATTGGAGGTGTCCAACCTATGGCCCGGGGGCCATGTTGCGGCCGGTCGTCCATTTTTGATCGATTAAAAATGACGTTTGACACGGCCCACAGGGCTAGTTAAAAAAAAATTAGAACAAGGTCTGATTCGTGATCGTGTCACGTTGATCAGTCTCACATGGTCAACTTACTACAGTTTGCTCTTGTTTTGGCGAATGAGTGTGGCGACGGGATTCGGCTCCTGTTCGATGCAGGCGTGGATCTCGTGGAGTGAGATGCAGGGCCGTTGGCTGCCCTCAAATCAAGAAAAAAATTGCCTTATCACCTTGGAAAGAAATGAAAAAGTTTGGACACCCCTAATGTAAAAGTGGTTTGTGTTTCTTCGCTACAAGGTTCACTTACTGGGTTGGTCTGTAACGTATAAGAAAAGCAGACCAAAACAACCCACATTTGGCTGTTTTCCAAAGTAAACGCATCTGTTTGCCAATCTGTTGTTTTGCTTCGACGCAAAGGATCAGTCGGAGAGGCAGAGCAATTTCAAAACCACCGCAAAATGGTTCAAAACGATTCGTTCTCAAAATAGCCGCCGATGAAGCAATGAATTGCCGTGCCTCAAAAACAGAAGCTCCTTGACTGACCGTAACTGAACTTGTGTGGATGAGTTCATTTGGCCCCCGTTGCATCCCTCTCACCTCCATCTCATCCTTGTTCTCAGTTTAGTTTGGAGAGCCAAGAGCGCTTGGAAGAAGCTCTTCCAATCGACACCGTCCACACGGAAAATGAAGAGCGGCGCCGGGCCCAGAAACATATTCCGACTCTCAACGGGGATCTTCGCTCTGGACAAAACGACGTCATCGAACACCACGAGGACGAGGAAAAGGAATCCTGCGACAGGTCGGCTCACGTACCGTTCTTGTGCTGTTGGCTTGGCGCCGAAGGCTGCCGTGGTCATTTGAACTCATTCGCTGCCAGCCCAGTCAAAATGGATGTCGAGAGCCGTCAACGGCAGTGAATGAGATCATCATGGCGACGACAACGACGATGCCATTTCTGTCAAAAATACTGCCGGGTCCCTCACTATGGCAGTGAATGAGATCATCATGGCGACGACAAGACATTGCCATTTCTGTCAAAAATACTGGCGGGTCCCTCACTCTGTCTCTTCTCTTCTGAAATCCCGCCGTTTTCCTTGTCAGCATCAGCCCAGGACGCGCGTCCCCCGCCACCGCCGCCGCCGCGACGCCGAGCTGGTTCTGTCGAAGGCCCGCCCACCACCGCGCCGCAGGCGCCCAGCGGTGCAACTACGACCTGAGGGAGCGGATTTGCATCGGCAGCATGACGGCAGCGGAGAACGCCGTCTATCGACGGGTGCCGACCGACGAAGCCGAGGCCCGGATGTTGGCCACCGTCGACTTGGATGGCATGAAAAGTGAGTGAGGCGGAACGGAGGCCCGTTTGTTTTGGGATCGTCCAACTCAGTGTTGCCCGACCTTCCAAACCCAAAGAGATAAAAATGACCTGCTCTCCATTTCCTCACATTTACCTCGTTTTGGCGATCGCTGAGAACATTAGAGCTGCATCACAAGCTCGGATGTTTTTTTTTTTTAATCAGAAATACCTTTTAGGCGTACGTCTATCACATACGAACAAACTAAAACAACAATAATGGTACACAGAGTAAAAATCTGCGTGGTTCAAAAATTCCTATTCAGAGCACAATTTCAGTTTATTGATTTGTACTCGTCAAAGGTAAAATGACATCTGCTGGTTCGGATTTAAATAAGCAAAGTGAATTGGTAGTGAGTATTTTCACTTCATCACCAAAGTCTTTATTCTGCTGTTGCTGAAAGAGGAAACAGTGACCTCTACAGGTCATATTCAGTATTACATTCATTTCATTTTGGGATTTCTTTCTGTCTTTTCGTTATTTTTTTTCACCTCTGACATGGCTTAATTTCCTCAAGCATGACAAAATGCATCCTAGTTGTTTTGATTGGAAAATATTTCATATGGATGGTGGTTCCAATGATACGGACTTGTGGCTTTAATTGGAGAGCTCTTTGCAAATCACAATCATCATAATCATGGTAGGGAGGCACAATGGATGACGAGTTAGCACATCCACCTCACAGTGAAGGGGTTTTGAGTTCAAATCCGGCGCCGGCCTTCCTGGGTGTAGTTTGCATGTTCTCCCCGTGCGTATGCGGCTTTTCTCTGGGTACTGAGAATTTGTGGGGGATCACTGCAGTTTAAATCCAAACATGTTGTATAATTAATGGCTGATGTAAATAATGATTTTTAAAAAATCACAATGACACAATATGGAATTAATCCAGCATTAAACCACAAAGCAAGTTCAGTGACAAAAGCAAGAGAGCGTGAGAAAGTAGAAAGCTGCATTGACGTTACACCGACAAAGAAAGAAAACAGATGAAAGCATGTTCGCGGCGTACGCGGTAAAGGGGGCGGTCATTAACTCAGCCTGCAGTCGATTCCCCTTCACCGGCGACCCTGCCTCTGGCCTTTCCTGCTTTACCAGACTGGAGTAATCATTGACTGCGTAGAAACACAAAACAGGCCTACTAAAATCACAGCTGCCGGCTAGTGATGCTTCACGGTGACAGGCCGTGCATGCCGCTGCAACCCGGGCTTTCCGTTCTCCGGTGAATTCAAGTCCTTCCAGAAGATCGGACCAAAGGTTCAGGTGAAAAGTTCACAACATTCACAACGCAACATCCAGGAACGGTAAAAACCAATGGCCACGAATTGTTGCGCCACCCTTTGCAGACGTTTTTGTCACAATCGAGTAGGATTTGTTGAGCCAAACCTGCACGCGAACGTGAAACGTTCAAGAACTCAATCCCGAGAAAAAAAACACGACCACAAAAGGCCATCCCGAAATAACAACTCCGTGCACAGAGGTAACCGAGCTGGAAAAAAAGAGGTGGACAGAGCCACCGTAGAAGGAAGGCACCAGCGCCGCGAAACAAACAAGACAAAATCATGGTAGAAGTGCACAAAACCAAGGAACACAACTTGGAAAGGTTCCGCCCACCAGCGCCCCAGAAATCAACATTGGAGAGAAGAGAAAATGACGTCACAATCAGGGAGAAAGACACAATGTGTCATGAGGATTTTCCACATCTTAAGAGACAGGAAGTCAGGCCTTGGAACAGTTTTGGGTTGTTCTGCGTGTGAGGTGAGTCTCAGGGGGAAAGAACATCACACGCCTCAAGATGGCGTTCCTCTACCAATCTCCAAACATATCTCTCCCCCCGCCGCCCCCTCGAATCGTAATGCAGTCTACCAATGACAACATGACATCTTCTACTCTGATTCACTCTGCATCGATCATTGCTGCACAGCCTCAAAATCAATAGCCCGTGGACGAAACCCAAAACAAGAGTGGCGTGGCAGGCAGTGCAATTCAGTTGTCACAAAGAAGACCACGCCTGTTCTGCCCTTTGCCGCGGTGGCCAAAGTAAACGTTTTACCAGCGGTGCTCGCTCTCCTCGCGCTCCTCTGACCGCGGTTCCAGGGACGTGTCTTCTGACTCCCAGATTTGACTTTGCTTCGCTTTGCTTTTACGGTACATCCAATGTGGACTCGTGACTTGCGATCCAGGCAAGGCACCGCAGTTGAAAAGAGTTGGCAGCCCCTGGATGAGCAGTGAGCCCACCGGGAGAGGGGAGGACAGGAGGAGGTACCAGCCGCGGAGATGACGGATCTCGACGGACAAGACAACCAGGCCGACGAGGAGCGCGATGGTGCCGCGCGCCGGTGTAGCGTCCGTCGAGGCTCGGGCAGTCCGGAGCGGCGGCAAACCGAGCGCCGCGGCTCGCTGTCCATCGTGGAAGGCTTGGAAGACTTTGAGGAGTTTGTTTTCGATTTTGACGACTATGACTTGCTCGAGTCCATCCACACTCAACTGGGCTCTCCGGTCGAATCGATCCGTAAGTAGTTGGGAGAACTTTTCACGGCGTTAGTTCTCAACCTAACATTTTTTTTAGCAAGCTTATGATTGGATTTCTATGCACATAAGCAGCGGGTGTGAGTTTCCATTGCTTCTCCATAATGCTATGGGGCAGATGTCAAAGAGGACCACGTTGGCACATGCGATTTATTGAGTGCATTGACAAGCCGCTGGAGCGCCGATGCCGTTTCCTGTGTTTCCATTGATCTGCTGGCCTCCATTTGGCTTTGGGCTCAGCTACAGCTGGAGCGGAAAGTCATTTCATTGACAATCACTCTGGCCACTTCTGCTATTTCTGTCCACATTTTTGGTTTAAATGAGGGGTGCCCAAGTCCACTCCTCGACAGCCCCTGGTCGGCGTGTTTTCGATGTGTCCCTCTTCCAACACGCCTGATTCCAATGATCAGGATTGTTCTCATGCTTCTTAGAGCTTGCTGATCATTGGAATCAGGTGTGTTTTCTCCAGGTACACCGATTTCCTCCCACATTCCCAAAACATGTACGGCAGGTTAATGGAAGTCGAGAGAGAGCAAATGCTTGTTTGTTTCTGTGTGCCCTGCGATGGGCTGCCAACGAGTTGACAGAAGACAGCTGCAATAGGCTCCGGCATGCCACCGAGCCTTGTCAGGATAAGCGGATCAACGGATGGATGGATCATAAGAACCCTGTTGGCAAGATGATATGCTGATGAAAAGGTGTCGGCTTCCTGCAGGTCACAGATTTGAAGACAACCCCGGAGTGAGACGCCACTTGGTGAAGAAGTCGTCCCGCTTTCAGGTCGGCCGTAGCAGCAACTCTTCCACGCCACTGTCCAGCCTGAAGAAGAAGAAACGAGCGTCGGACAAGAAGACTCATGAGGTTTGTGGCGTACTCACTCTCAGTCTTTTTTGTGTGTGTGCATTTTGCTAGGCAAGTACAGACACTGACGCTATTACGAAGGATTTATCCGACTTCATTATGACTTGCATCAACCATCGTGATTTGAACTTGCTTGGGGGGGGGGGGGGGACAGGGGACTCGTCTTGATATGTTTCAGACTTGCACATGCTGCATGTGATCTAATCCCACCTCTAATGTCCAGCCATGTCATCTGTACTGATGACATCTCCTCTTGGCTTCACCTCCAGCTGTTTGTGGAGCTCAATGAGCTGATTGTGGAGAAGGACCATGAAATGCGCTGGAAAGAGCGCGCCCGCTGGATCAAGTTCGAGGAAGATGTCGAGGAGGAGACGGACCGCTGGGGCAAGCCTCACGTGGCTTCGCTCTCTTTTCGCAGCCTACTGGAGCTTCGCCGCACTATCACGCACGGTAAAGGGACTCTTGCAGCATCTGTCCAAATCACAGCTCATTGTGTAATTAAAATCGACAAGGGTTAGTTCAAAAAAATATATATACAAGTAAAGAAACTCACTGGCAGCATGGTGGACAAGTGGAGTATTTGAGTTCTGATTTTGGGAGTTGCATGTTCAGGTCAGTGAAGACTAAACAGTCTGTAGGTATGAATGTAGATGTGCAAGAGTTATTCCATTCGTCGACATCTAATCGATTATCAAATAACTCAATAACAATGTATACATCCTGTATATGACCCGGAAGTGCTGAATGGCCTAACTAGTGCTTCAGCGTCGGTGGGCAATAAGCCTCCGCTACATTCCACCTCCTCCACTGCTGCCATTGGAGAACCCCAGAACGTCATATCTGACACGAATGTTTCCAAGGTGCAATCCTTCTGGACCTGGAGCAGAACTCTCTTCCGGGAATTGCCCACTTGGTGGTGGAGACCATGATCATCTCCGATCAAATTCGAGCTGAAGACAGATCCTGCGTTCTGAGAGCTCTGCTGCTCAAACACAGGTTGGTAACCAAGCCCTTTCTACGATACTGTAGTTCTGGCTCATGCTGGACTTGGAACAGTTCAACAGTTGTGAAAAATCACAATAACGATAAGAATAAAATACCGTACATAGCAGATATGCCACCCTCCTCGCTCACCAAATGCTAGCTCGAGAATATCTTTGTCGCGGTCATGCTAACTGGCCGAATTGTATAGCTGGGGGTGTCCGCAGACCGCAACGATCATCTCCTCCTCCGTTGTGCCCTCAAATGTGGTCAGAAATCTCATCTCGTGTGTGTGACGCTGTGTGAGACGTAGTGCATCCCGAAGCCCGATTGGCTGCCGCGAGGCGAAGCGCGTAAAAAAAGTTCCATTCATTTAACTTTGGCAAACAGACGAAAGGCTGACGCCTCTCCAAAGGCGTCAAACGCCACACCCCGCACGCCTCCGCGCCTTCACCGCGCAAACTTCATGGACTTCACTTTCAATCGCTCCGCCGGAAATGCTCGCAAGAGATTTGGTGTGCACGTAGCGTAAGAATTGGGGTTAGCCTCGCCTACCCTACCCCAAGGGTCATTTCTTGATGAACTCTTCCCCACCATCATCCCACTTGGAAGTTTTCACAACCATAAAGCCTGGAATTGATTGCATGAGTGCTGTGTTGAAAGTCGTACGGCCAAGGGATACGGCCACATACCACGAGAAATAACACATCATCTCAGTGACTGTAAGTGCAGCCGATGGCCATTTGTTCCCGAGTGAACTGAACCGTCTCGAGATTGACATTGTAATCTTGTTACAATACCGCAATACAACTTGAAGCTCGAGCAGCCTAAAATGGACGTTCCTTGTCGAGCGTGTTGGTCTTGGCTTTGTTCATGACACCTTGAACAGCTTCCCATCATAAGCAATCAGTGCGCCGTGAGTCTGGCTGAGAATTTGATCCCGAAACTTCACTCATAATCCCCACCCGCAGTGTCCATCTGTGGTCTTCCAGCCTTGGCCCGCCAGAAGCGTTCATTGGATGGCAGCCTTCGTAATCTCCAACCTTCATCTGGATGATTTATTTATTTATTTTTTCAACTTCAATTGTACTCATTTTTCTCAGACTCTTTCAATGGCAGCAGTTAACGTATGTACGACGACACACGACAAGATCCAAGCTCCCGTCTTCCTTATTCTTCTGGTTTTGGTGTTCGAAAAAGGCTGACACAGGGAGAGCCGCAGAGGGAATTTCCAGAATGTTAGCGTTTAACAAGACTTGGCTCATCATCTGAACTTTCCTGCGGCTGACAAGGCTGCAGATGTTGAAGCTGTACCGTGCTTGTGCCCGGTTAGAAAAGCCAAACACCATTCTCGATGGTGCTTGGCGGAAGGCAGCCGTGGCCTCGTGATACTCGTTAATTCTGAACACACCAACGTACTTTGCAATCCAATAGACATCGGCACCCCAACCCCCCACCCCGAATGTACCCACTCTAATGTTCCTTCTAATTTTCCATGTGTGTGAGTGTTCACACAAACTCCCCGAGCATCCCTTGGGCCACGTCGTGCGACATCAGACATGCACACGGCGGCCAAAAACAGTTTCACCCCTGTCCAAAACCCGAGATCAAAAAAAGTTACACGATGTCCATAAGTAACAACAACATTCAAGACATTTGTGACTCGAACAAATATCAGCCCTCGTTTGTCATTTGAGCATGTACAATGGGGTCTCCATGAAATCTGGAACAAGATGGTCCCACATTGCCCACTCATAAATAATGGAAAACTTCACAAATTGTCATCTGCAAACTAAGCTGCATCTTACGTTCATAAAACTAGCTAAAACCATCTGTCATAGCGGAAATATCTTCCATTTTTGTCTTGGTCAATTAATACCATGAATGAGCTTCAGGATTCATTTTGAAATATATTCATTTTTGGTATTGCTGTGTGTCCATATCGAAGAAGGAAGGTCAAAAAGTGGTTTCCTATTCCATTTTACGCAAACGTAGTGACTTTTTTTCCTATGTTGCATGCAAGAAACGCTCCGTATATTAAAAAAAAAAACCGAAAACTAAAACCAATAGAACCTCAAATAAGACAAAGGGTTTTTGAAAAATCTAAAAAAATAAAATAAAAACCTGCTCATAAAAAGTAAGTGAATTAAAAAAAAAAAAAGAAAAAAAAGGTCAAAACGAAACAAAAACGAGCTCTACTGAAGGGTTTCCTATTCCATCTTACGCAAACTTGGTGACTTTTTTTCCAATGTTGCATGCAAGAAACGCTCCATATATTAATACAACTAAAACCAATAGAACCTCAAATAAGACAAAGCGTTTTTGAAAAATCTAAAAAAATAAAAATAAAAAAACCTGCTCATAAAAACTAAGTGAATTAAAAAAGAAAAAAAAAAGGTCAAAACGAAACAAAAACGAGCTCTACTGAAAAATCTCAAACGATCATCACCTTGATTCTGATTTAGCCAATGAGCCGGCACAAATTTGGGCATACAAAGGTAATTTCGGTCTGGAATTTCTCAGTGGATGGTCGCATGCCGTTTGGCAGGACATGACAGCTTGTTAACGTGTCTCGAATGTCATCAACGTGACAGTCCTGAGCTCTCCCAAAGGCCCTCCTGCCTTTTGACTTCGACCTATGCCGAAGAAATACGAAAAAAACAAAACAAAAAAAAAAAACAACCCGCAGGGGAAATTGATTCGATGTATAGATTTGAAGGATTACGTAATGAAAATACATTAACCACATGGATGCTGTCAAAAGGAACGAGCGGGGACGGAAACAACACACGCCAGTCCAAATGCAACAGCTGAGTTCAGGGGAACATGTCACTTGTGTCGTACAAAACGCAGGCATTTTGCTTGCCAACTATTTCCTGGATGCCTGCCCCGAGTGGCTCATTCAGAAAGGGCTTTTGGAGAATTGCGTCGCCCTAATTGAGCTGAGCGCAGCGGCTGAGCGTACGCGCAAAGCGGCGGCGCGACCAACGCGACTCCAATGAAGGCGCCCTGCCAAAAATTCCAAGTGGGCCGTCGTGCGGTCATTGTCAGCCTTTCCACGTAAATTCCCGGCATAGCGCTGGCAGCGTCCGCAGGGGAAAGCAAGCCTCCGTCATTGCGCTCATTATGAGACTGACATCAGATTTACAACGTGGAAAGAAACACATCGAGATGCCGTTAGCGTTTGGCCGCCCGCGCGCTCGCTCGGCCCACTTGAAAGAGTCGTCAGGAACGGCTCGGGCGCCATTTCTCTTTGACTGTTCCGCCTCCTTTTCGTCAAGAATTTGTTTTGTCCAAGTCTGGTACCATCACACCGGACCATGTGGTCCTCATGAGTCGGGGTGGCTGATGTCAACATTGGAAACGGCGGATGGCAATCAATTTGAGATGACATGGGAGGGAGGGAAACATTCTTGTGACACTTGCGGTTCACTATTCACACGAAACGCTAGTTGTAAGTTTTGTTTTTATTTTATCTTGCTGGGGAACTTATTCCCTCGCTTCCCCCCCCCCCGCCCCCCCCGAAAAAAATCTCAGCTTTTGGTTGCTTTTTATGAAATGCCCTGAGAAACCATCAAAGCACTGTCTGACAAGGAATCGGTGCCAAGGAAGTACGTTGAAGTGATCCATCTCAACTGAGTTGTCAGTGGAAGTTTGTAAGACTCTTCTGGTGCATTTTTTTTTCTTCCCAAATTCAACCATCTGTAAATTGTTAGTAAAGGCATCGCAAACGGCTAACTCTCAACCCCCATCTTTCTTTCTTTCTTTTTTTTTTTTTAAGTCATCCAAGTGACATGAAGCATCGCTTTCACCGGCACCACTCATCAAGCAGTCTTCACGGCAGTGTCAATCCCACCCGCGTCCAGGACACCAGCCTGCCCCTTGTCGCCGAAGAAATGGAAGAGCACCAGGATGGCAAAGGACCCCTCTACGACCCCAAACAAGACGTCTTTGTCAGTCTATTTGTAAGTTGCCTCGACGTACTCTCCCGAATGGCCCCAGTGGAACTCTGTAGATCGGTGGTGACCAAACTATGGCTCGGGGGTCATTTGTGGGCCCCTGTCCGTCTTTCAGCGCCCCGGCTCATTTGTCGAAGAAAACCAATGCAATCATTTCATATTGTATACAGCATACAATATACATACATACATACATGCATACATACTGCGTACATAGCTTCTAGAATATATTGTATATGCTGTAGTAGCCATATATGGTCTCTGCATATGTACTAATAGGCTCACAGCCCAATGCTTGAGCCAAGGGAAGTGTCAAAGCGGCTAGAAAGAAGTCGAAACATTGCAGGCAGATACCACATCATCCACTTGCAGTTGGATTTTTATTTTATATTTTTGTTTTTTTTTTTGTCATAGCCTTCAAGTCCCTTCGGGAGACTTGAAAGTCAACTCGAAATGCTCACATGTTGCTGAGGTGTCCGCCGAAGAAGTCAGACGGCCCGTTTGACCACATCCGTTGAATTACTTTTCCGAGTCGACACACCGGCACTCGTTTGAAGGCCTCGTGACGCGGCGACTGCAAATTTGGAATGCTCTCGATGATGTACAATGTTGGTGTTTATTCGTCGGAATGTGTTTTAAATTCACAGGGGCTGGACCTGTTGCTCAGAACATTCAAGCGGCTAATCTATGTCTCCAACTGTTCTTCCCCCAAGAAATCTCTCCATCCCGTATCTCCCGAGAGCCATCCGGCGGCCGCCAGATCTTTGAAACTTCTGGCCAAGATACCAAGAGATGCCGAAGCAGTCATTGTTTTAGTCGGTAAGCGTTTGGACCAAAATGCCGCTTCATTTGTTTTTTTGGCCTTTCATATTGCCTCAAAAAAAGACAAAGATTAGTCAACGCATGCCTTCATTATCAACGGTCGACGTCAGCTTGGATTTATTCACGCCAGCTTTTGCTGGTTTCTGTCTAGTCTTTTATCAACTCAAGCTTTTGCAGCAGCTTCACTCTCCTGTTGGGTCGGTTTCTTCCCAGCGATGTTCACGGTTTATTGAGACACATTCTATCTACCTGTGGAGAAAACGCATTTCGGCCGCTCGTACCCGAGAGATCTCGTTCTTTCGGTCACGCCTACCCCAGCTCGCGACCAGAAGTGAGGGCGGGAACGTAGATCAACCGCTAAATCGAGAGCTTTGCCTTCAGTTGAATTGTAAATTGATGTTGTCTATTTATTTATTTATTTTTTCAATCAAAGCAAAAACACAAGGCTGGCAGAATACGCAGGGGGAGGTATTTGAAATGAGAGCTTCAGACCTCAAGAACAACAAAACATCCAAGTTGGATAGGATTTGAAGTCACAGCAAAGCCAAGTAAATAGACAAAGAATCTTGCTGGAACATGCATTTTGTGTCCTGGCAGGCTGCGTTGAATTCCTGGAGCAGCCGGCCATGGCTTTCGTACGGCTGAACGAAGCCGTGCTTCTGGAGTCGGTTTTAGAGGTCCCGGTTCCAGTTCGCTTTATTTTTGTCCTGCTTGGACCCAGTCAGTCCAACGTGGACTACCACGAGATTGGACGCTCCTTCTCAACGCTCATGTCTGACAAGGTGTGAAACATTCCCAGGTTCTCACGGTTTTCAGTCCAGACACTCTCCGGTAAATTCAGGATCTCATTTTCCCGAGATTCAAGAAAAACAGTATTTCCGAGAGTCCGTCGAAATACTGACAATACCATCATTTCATGTTCTTTTGTCATCGAACGGTCTTGTATGTTTGTGCGTTTCAGAACTTCCACGAAGTGGCTTATTTCGCCGACAACAGACAAGATCTCCTCAACGGTATCAACGAATTCCTGGACTGCAGCATTGTCATTCCGCCCTCCGACGTGGAAGGCAAAGACCTGCTGAAGACCGTGGCCGACTTCCAGAAGCAGATGCTGCGCAAGCGCAAGGAAAGGGAGCTGAAGAAGCACCACTCGTCGTCCGGCATGGAGCAGAACAACAAAGGTAAGCTTTCAAATGTCATCTGTCAGAAGACGCGCTGATGGGAAAGAAAAAAGAAAAAGAAAACTCGTCACATCCTCCATCCAGACATGATTCAAGAGGAGGAGGAGGAGGGCGACCAAGAGATTGACCCACTCATGCGTTCGGGGATTCCTTTCGGAGGTTTGATCCACGATATTCGACGTCGCTACCCCAACTACGTCAGCGACTTGAAAGATGCTGTGGACATGCAATGCGTCGCTGCTGTTATCTTCATTTACTTTGCTGCGCTGTCGCCCACCATAACCTTTGGAGGCTTGCTAGGTGAGGCACCTTTACAACACATGGACGAGTCCCGAATCAACTCCAATGGGGTACTAATTGTACTTTTGCCAAAAAACACATCAGAGTCCACAAAAATGAAAAATCCAATTGGATCATAATGGCAAGTGGAGTGCACTTAAATAGAGCTTTATCCACACCATATGTTGTCCGGAGCGCTGTAACCACGCCCCATATTTGCTTTTTTTGGAAAACATATTTAAATGTGCGCCGACGCGCTAATATACAGCTGCCTCAACCTACGGAAAGATTTCCCTTTGTAGTTTCAAACAACTTCCTTTAACCTCCAGAATCCCTCGCTGTACCCAGACTGGCAGCAAAACCCCAGAGGTTTTTTCTGCTTTTTGTCAAGTTTTTAATCCATCCGTGATCTGTCATAGCAGCTGGCTAGCGCTAAGCCAACCCCTTCGTGCTAGGTCACAGGCCAGCAACAAAAGTCATAACAAAGGCATTAATACACTGCATAGATGGGATTTAGGAACTGATTGCTGGCCTTTCAGACATTTTTGGGAGAATTCAACATGTCAGTTTGTTCCTGAGAGACATAATTGCCGTTCTTGAGAAACAAACCTAGCAAGAGTTGAACAGGTGTTATGGCTCCTTTGCGCCTTCCCATGCAGGGGAGAAAACAGAGGGCATGATGGGAGTGACGGAGCTGATTGTTTCCACCGCGACACTCGGAGTTATCTTCTCACTCCTGGCCGGTCAGCCTCTTCTCATCATCGGATTCTCGGGACCTTTACTGGTGTTTGAGGAAGCGTTTTACAAGGTAGTACACACCTCGATCCATTCTCTGCGAAAGCTGTGTGAACCTGGTCGCTCGGGTGGAGAGGTCTTTTCCAAAATGAGAAGAAAGACAAATCAGCTGTGTGAGGAATTTCTAGATGACCCCCCCCACACACACACACACACCCACATGACCACCCCCCCATGCGAGTGCCCCGCAGCCTCGTCAAGGGAAAATACCCACAGAGGAATTCCCCCAACCAATGTGATGGGGCCGGCGCTGATTTATGTCCAATTTTTCTCACGAGGGAGGGCAGATGGCGCGGGGGTTGG